TTGTCTCGACTGGTTCGCCTCACAAGAGCAACAGTTTCTTTCGCGTGACTTCCACAAATTGTCAGATAGATGAGAAAAATGCGTTGCTAAGTATAGCCAATATTTCGAATAAAATATTTTTTATCGTTTTCATACAATAAAGCTGTGTGTCCTCTATATAAACATTCCCGTTTCATATGTACGTACTTGGAAAGTCGATATCAGTCTCAACCTAATGAGGATATTACTAATATGTTTTGGTGATTCAATCAGAAAGTGGATTTGCCTCATTTATAAACATGCCTGCACAACAGTTAAAAACTTGCAGATTTATTGAAGGTCAGTTAATTCTGAGCGGTCAGAACCACAATTAATAAACTATTTAAATACCCTGTACTAAGTGCTTGCGCGAATGGGTGCAACATGCCGATTGGCTTGAGATAACTATCTTTTTATAGCTTCTCATAGCTCTTATTGTATCGATCGATTCAGAATCACTTTCTGATTTGATTTAACCATGTCTGTCCGTCTACCCATCTCGTTATTTTGGCGAAGTTTGTTTCCATGGAAAAGTGTTCAGATTGGACCACTCGCTGTCCATAGAGAGCTTTTTTTGAAAAGTCATTATATAAATAATTGTAGGATGGCGTAGGATCTTTAATAGTGGGCCGTAGCTCACTATAGTGTTTTTGCTTGTACAACTCTAATGTGTTGGTTTGACGCGATTAGGTCTTGAACGAGTGCGATTTCAACATATCTTACTTGCTGTTTCTTACAGTTTCGCGGATATTTTTAGACTTCCTCGAGCAGTGTGACTGAAGGATTAACGTTTAATGTTCCAATTAAATGAACTCAAGCTTTTTTTAAAATCAGGTGGCATCGCCACAATAAATAACAATTATATATTTATACGCGGGAATAGAAGAAGTTTATCCGAATTTTCACGTACTCGACATCAGTCGTTATTTTGTCAGTTCTCAAACAAATTTTTTTTTTGAATAAATGCCGGATAATTTCAGATTAATTTTCGCTTTTTGTTTATGTAGAGCATTGCCGTAATATATTCGATGCAAACAAGGGATAGATGTAGAAATCAATTTAAAATTTCCTAATAATAGTTAAAAGCTTTCCTCTGTAAGCCTATTCTTGCCATATATACAATACACAGTGACGTAAAGTGATGTGAATAAACTAATACGTTGTACAAAAATTTGTTTGCGGAGTGGCAAATATGCGAAAAAATAAATTGAGAAAAAAACCTTTATACTCAGATTATTTCATTTAAAATAGTTTCACAAAATGGACTCTAGTTTCTTTCAGTTGTCTTTTTACCGTTACATGGTTTAATAATATCCGTGCGTATAAAAAGCTCAATTTTTCCCTTTTCTCTTTTGTTTGCAATTTTTCACTGCCATCTATTTCACGTTTTTCAATAGTTTATAGTTTATATAAAAAAAAATTCTGCCAATGAAATACAAATTAAATATTTTAAATAAAAAACCTAAAAAAATTTAAAATTAATGGTTCGCCAATTTTATTTGATGGTAACATAGATTAAAAAGAAAAAAAAAATATGCAAATTTCCGTTGGTAGCTGAATAACGTGGTGGCCAATAAAAAATCAGCTTTATTTTAGGGAAAATAGGAAAAAATAATTTTGGCAGATGAAAAGATAAATTGCGAATATTACAAAATTACGTCTGGGAGAAAAAAAAAGAAGAAGATATTGAATGAAAAGGAGAGAGAGCAAGGGGACAGCAGTATGCTCATAAAAAAGCGAGCGAGAAAACGTTTTCATCTCGTATAAATGAAAGAGAAAATGCCAGGTTGCACTTATTAGCGCTTGGACTTTAAAAAGCTAATTGCATTTCACATTTACTGTTGAGAGCAATTTCCAGACGATAATACTTTATTTTGGCGATTCTTCACAAATTGTCGTTCTTTTCCACACTATGTGAATATATATATTATATATATATATATATATATATATATACAGATGCGTTTTCCACACTATGTGAATATATATATATATATTTTTTTCACTTTCGATGTAAGCAAGTGGAAACGTAATAATCTGACACCACTAATATTAAATATCAGGAAGGACTTCGCTTACTGCAAGTTGGAATAAATGAGGAGCTTTCGATGATGTAACAATGACTTCAGATTTAGTTGTTAGTGAACTTTGCTATCCAACTTGATCCAAATTCAGCTTAGTAAATTTATGTGTAAGTGGACTAACGCTCCATATTTTTATATCCTACATCACCTGCAATACGGGGTAAATTAAGGTAGTACGGATGCCTGACAACAATCGGAAGAGATAGAACAACCTTTTATTATACCGATCGATTCAAGAAGTGATTTTGAATTTGTGTGTCCATCTGCCCGTCTTGTACTGTTGTGTTAGACCGACAAGTCGCACTTTTTGAGATATTTTTATGAAATTTAGTAGACCAACGCGTTTCGGCCCAAAGATGAACGCTATTGACAATTTTTTTCGATCATTACCAATCTAACATTTTTATTTTGGGAAGTCCCGCGTTAAACAACTGTAGAGTGATGTAGGGTATTTAATGCTAGTGCCTGGCCCGCTATATTGACTTTACCAGTTTTATTAGTCTTTAGCGTTAGCCTGTTGCTTCCCTTCTTCAGGTATTTTTTGCCATATCCTAAGGTCTAAGGTAGAAAAACGTAACAAAAAAAATTAGTAGATTTCTATGGCAGAATTCATAAACTACATCAAAATATAATACTTTTAGCTGATGATGTTGGCGCTAAATGCTTGTAAATGAGCATAAACGCCTTGTGAATATATTTGTTAGTGGACTAGAGAATTTAGTAGTCAATAGATGAGACAGCGATTTGTTCAATTTTTTTTTGGGCATCTGGGAGAGGGATCAAAGTTTCAAAAAAAGCTTTTCGTAGGATGTGAGATTTTTGCTTCATAATTTCAATAAAACGGGAAATGATTTTTTGAAGAAGCTACAGTGAGGTCCTCCCTTAAACGAAAAAGTCCTATTTTTACTTTTCAACTACTATTTTTAGCATGGCAGTATAAGTGTACATGACATTTTAATAACCCGAGGCATTGGAGAGCACGCAAAGTGTATGTAACGCAATGCCTTTCCAACACAACAATTCAAGAGATGACTGCAAAAACGATCTATACTGCCTGACCGCTGGCCCATAAATTTCTAATCTTTTAAGGATTCTCGATAAGACGAATATAACGTTCTTGTTTTTATTATTATAGATCAACCTTGTTCTTTGTGATCGGTTCACTTTTAATAACGGTATACGGCATTTTATCGTCTCTGTCAAGCTGTACTTCAAATTCGGATACTTGCGTAGATTGAAATAGTAATTTATACATGACAAGCCTAATGTGGAAAATACTAACGGGAGCAACGACGGATGCATCTATGTTTGGGGAATACTGGGGATAGATTAAAAAGGCATAGGTTAATAAAAAATAAACAAAGATTTTATTGTTGTATATATATATATGTAAGCAGAACTATGATGCTTCATTGCAAGCTCAACGGGATAATTGCATTTTTATATATAAAAAGAAAAAAAAAAAGGAAAAACGAAAAAAAACCAAAGTAAGAAAATAATGTTTGGCTAAGGCCGGATCATTTACACTCACCAACTTTTCCTTACAAGAAATGCAACAAAATGAAAAACAAAAAATACAAGAATAACAAATGGACGTCTTGGGCTTTTCGATGGTAGAAGAATACACGTGAAATTGTTTATCACTATATCTGTTTCAATTTGTGAATGTGACCTGAAAATTCCAAAAATGATATTCTCAGGTATTGAAGCTGATATTTTAATTTTTGTGACTGAACGGTTGTTTAAAACACCAATCCACGCACACGTACTGGAGCGCAGGTAGACATGCCTAGATCAAGTAAGTGCTTGCTTGTATATATTTTGCACGACCTCTGAAGTTTCCTTTTGAGTGTTGCAAACGTTTTGCTAAAGTAAATGTACTGCCATCCTTCGGTAGTAAGTATGAAAACAACACCGCTG